ACGACATGAGCGCCCTGCCCTCTTTTTCACACTTGCAGCAGGCAACTCCCTCTACAACCTGCAAGTGCGGTTAGACAAAAAATTCACTAAGTACCATTCAAATGAGGTGAATCAATGGCAGCTAGTGAAAGCTTTGCTTTTACTCCTCTCAAATTTGCTAAAACGCCCCATTACCAGTAAGCTTTGTGATATGGCTCAATGCGTGATAAACGTAAATTAGGAGTCGTCAAGCTAACCACGTCAACAGAAATGCTTGTGCTCGTTTTGTATAGGAAAGGAAAAACTAAAGCGAGAGAAATCTAACGTGCTAGAACATAAAGGTAATAGTCCATATGTGAAAATGGTAAGAGCGTGGTCGTACGTTTTATGGTACAATACGTATACTTCCACTACTCGAGCTGCATGAGAAGAAAAACAAACCACCGAAACAAGAAGTGTATAGTATGAGCCAATAACTGGACGACAACTGGAGGCTAACCACTCGCAAACTCGTCCGAACGCACCTTCTCACCCAAAGATAAGATGGGCGGAAACAAAGTTATCGTTCGCAGAAGCCCAATTACGATGCTACATTAGCGCTAATTTTCTTCCGGAACCACTCTCATCCACAGCTGCTATTATTACGCCATCAACAAACTCAACTTTCCGGAGGCTTGCCTCAAATCACAACTACAGTACAGAAAAGTATAACCGAATTGTTCCAGTTGGAATGAAAGTTTCGCTTAGTGCAATATATGGAAGAGCATAAAGTGTGTAACAAGAAAAACAGAAAATATTTTATAACGGATGTTTGAAATGCCTGAGTGTTCTGCGTCACAGATGTGCGGGAGCACGTCGATCCGCGGACGAAAGCAACAGAACGCAAGCGATCGACATAAACGCGGTTTGCAATAGTAGGCAGACGCGAGTCAACCAATGCTTACCCATAGACAACAGCGTGACTGACGCAGGTGGTGATATTCGAAAAGTCCTAGATGTGGAAATCAGTAAGCATGCGATGAATGATACTGCGACACTTAGCGCCGCGCCTTCAAATTTGCTAACACGCAAGAGTTTAACTAATTCAGTCGTTGCTGTCGTCCGACCGCTGCTGTCGCAGATCGATACGCACCCAATGCTGTGCGACACTTGCAGTCGTTGCTGTCGTCCGACCGACTATGCGTCCGGCCATACCCCTGAACTCGACTACATTCGACCACAAAACTCAATAAATTTACAATACGGAGGTTCTACGAAAAAAAAAAACTTGGGGTGTGAAAAAAATGTCTTCCAAAATCACAACTTTCCGAATTTCAACATTGAGGAGTTCTGGTTCAAGAACAGTCAATGAAAAATTAAGTCTCATCCATAGCGGGGGAGGCATGTGGTGCGACAGTTCATATTGCATGAAGTAATCCACTTTTTTCAGGGGAGGGAAGCTCCGGGGTGGGTGTAAAAGTTTAAGCGAAATGGTTCACGCACCCCGGGGATTCCCTCCCCTTGCAAAAATTGGAATTTCTGTAGCCGGCAAGAACTGTCACACCACATGCCCCCCCCCCCTTACTGGATGAGATCCGGAAAATTTTCCGTAAAGGAAGTGAACTGAATTTATATGGCGATTCTTGGAAGCTCACCTGCAGCCTTTGAAACAGAACGTCACAGTCATCGTTTGAAGGATGAACGTTTTAGAAACGTTATGGGATACAATCTGGACATACGGCGAGAGAACGGAGAAAGAACAACGAGCAGATTGCCACAACCGTCAAGCTCCAGTTTCTGAAAAATCTTTTGTCACGTTTCCATAAGGTCGCGACATTCGGAGGTCACATTCTCAGCGATGCCGTTGCGTACGAAAGCCACCTATTGATCGAGGGATTCGGCGATTCGGCTATTTCGAGATACGGCGATTGGTGAAAAAGGGATACAGCAACTATCTCGAAGTCTGATTAGGCGTGTCACCGGAGGTGACGTGGCGGCCGCCGCACTTGATAGAAGTTGCGTGGATAAGCTGCTTCTGGCCTGCTTTGCTGATTCCCAGCGAAGTATGTTGGAAGCAGCTTATCCGCACGATATCTACTCAAGTGGTCACGTCAAATCCTTAGACCCGTCTTATCAGACGGTCAGAATGTCTGCAGGTACAAATCGATGGGCACTATTCCACTATTACTGCCCCAAAATCTCAAAGTTTCATTTTTCGTCGAAACTTTGCCTATAGGGGTAATTCGATGCCCTGATTACGAATATGACATTCATTTTTGATGTGGTGCCATCTGGCGCCAGTTGGCGCACCTTGCCACGACAGCTGTTTTCACCAAATTCGCTGTGAACTTGTTTAGTAATACAAGGGAAAGCGAGGAAATCTCACACGCTCTCGGAGTACTCTTAACCCCCCCCCCCCTCCAGCCTAGGCTCGAGCTGGTTGTAACAAAATGATGTTCCTAGAACGGTTTCAAATGCGCTGTCGCCGCAGTGCTCCCATCCCTTGCGATTGCAGCCGATTCATTTTTTGGTACCATTTGTACAGCGTATAAAAAGTTTGCGCTGATTCTATAGGACAGTTCCTTGCGCAATTAACTTGAATGGCTTCGTTTATGCAGTCTCCAGTAGTTTTAGTAGCAGCACCACGTATACGTAAGGGAGCGGGTCAATCATCCCTCTGTCATGTCAGACAAGGGGGTTGTGTTTTGTTCACAAAGGATGGGGAGGGGTTTTGAACGCAGTGAGCCAACAGCTGAGCTGAAATCGTGATCGACCGTTCGAATAAACTCGAAATGGCGCCACTACCACATTTGCGGGGCGGCGTCGCGGTTCTTGCCGTAGGGCGCGTCAGTTGTCTGTGATACGGAGGAAGCGGGAACAAACTGATCTCATTCAAACTATCTACAGTCGATATCTCGAATTCTGATTGGGCGTGTCACCGGAAATGACGTGGCAGCCACCGCACTTGATAGATGTCGTGTGGATAAAATACTCCGCCAGATATCAGCAAAGCGTGTTGGAAGCAGCTTATCCGCGCAACTTCTATCAAAAAAGGAAATAGGGTGCGGTGGATGCAACAAGTCATTCCAATAAGTTTTTTCGGGTGAACGCACCAACAGACAAATATCGCACGGTAGTTCGGTACTATCGATGTTGGCAACTTACAGTCCATATCCCGGAGATAGGGGGTGGTGGGGCCGAAGACGTGATTGCGGACTACACAAACTTGATAGTTGTCGCAGTGAGCATTTGTAGCAGATTTGGAACTACAGACCTCTTTATTTCGGGCCAGATTTGGAACTACCAGCGCTCCTATTCCGGAAGGCTTCCTAGTTATGTCAAAAAAATGAGCCATTTTCTGGTGATTCATTAGAGAGAGCGCGAAATCCATGCAACTCCTTATGTTGCAAATGTCAATTTTGCTCATCAATTCTGTCATCAAAGCGACCTTGTGCCCATTGGTAGCGAGGTATTCAAATTTCACTTGTTTCTTCTTTAGATAATACAAAATCTATCCTGAAACACATTTCTCGAAAGAATAAGACTGCTCGTCCGACTTTTTTTTGCTCAGATAGGAGTTTTGGTTTAAGATGTAATGATTAAAAGCGAATACCTATTCGAACGGGGAACGATACAACCGAGCATGAGTAATTAGCCTAATGAGTTCTTTAGCTCAAGCCTTTAATTTTTATAAATCTGCAAAATTTTTTCCCGTCTGGCTTCTGTATAGGTTCTGAACGGGACCTTTACGGCCAGCGAGGGTGCGAAGTTGGTTGTGGAACTTCCCGAGGTCGTAACCTCCTTATAGTCATTGCAAATAAAGAAAAGTTTCTTCAATATCTATTAGTTTTATGTGTTTTCTAGGAAATATTGAACACGTTCTGAATAGTTACCCGCTGGATAAATCTCGCTTTTGTGAAATTACTCTCTTTTGAGCCTTGACAAGGTTTTTTTTCTTCAGAAAAAGTCCACATAATTGCGAATATACTAACATACGTACTCTATTCGTTGAATTTAAGCTTTCACGTACTTTCCGGAAAGAAGAGACAGAAAGATTTCGATTTTTAATTTGCATCTATCTAAGAGATTCGAAACCTATCTGCGTCTCTGGGAGTTCGCAACCAATTGAGTAGCACGATTTGACAGCAGCAAAATCGTTTGAAAATGTTTTTTCTTCTGTTGCTTTTGTGTTTTCTGTGTTCCGTTTATCAGCATCCTTCCCTCGGGCATCTCGCATTTCGACAAACTCAGATATACTAAGCTGGTATACGAATTCCTTCTTCCTCATGCAGGATCTCGCAATTGGCCATTACCACAGCCCTTCTGCGCTGACATCCACTACCTTCCCCTCGGCCACTTCATTTGTGTAGTTTCTTGCGTTGTAGTTGATTCGAATTGCCCGAAATTAGTTATCATCAATAACAGTCTTAAAGAAGGGAGTGGGGGAAGAGTAGAAACTCAGATTTATGATAAATCATGAACAATAACGAAAACAATGAGAATGTAACAAAATGAACAGCTGTACTTACATTTTCGACCACAAATGGCAAAAACGAGTTTTAGAATACAAATTAAGCTTAATGCTCACATTCGATAAAGTGGAGCAAAACAGCCTTGCATAATGCTAAGGAAGCTTGTTGTATCATGGATGTAACCATAGTACAACAGTTACATCATAGAGTTCCTGAGCTTCATTGAGTTATACATCTCTCGTGTGGTATTGATATGAAAGCTCTTCGAAATGTCTTTAGGTGACGGCGATTAGAATGTTGTATTTGTAGACCCGAGGAAGGGCTTAATACCCGGAACGTCGTCACATCAAGAATTTTGAAGAGCTTTCATACCAATACTATACGAAGAATGCATAGTACAACAGTGTCTAATTGCTTGAAATAACCAAATAGAGTAGAACAGAGAAAAAAGCCTGAGAACAAGTAGAAGCATAAAACTGCTCCCGTGGAACTGTGGTGCCCCCTTCGCGGCAATCTGCTGTCAGGGTTTGTCATGGAAAAGCTGGCTGTAGCTAACAACTTTCTCTTTAGCTAACGAACGCGGTAGAAACCCAGCGTTGCACAATCCGACAAGACGTCCTTGTCTCCATTCGCAAACATCTCACAATCATCATCCGTTGGAATCTGAACCGAGAATATGCATAAAATCCCGCTCTTCTTATGTCAGCAAAAACTCACCCTCTCGAGCCACTGCTCGACTGTGAAAGACAGCTTTAGATGAGCTAGCACCGTCTCTATCTCAGGATTGTGAATTAGGAGGCACCCTTTCTTGGCATGCTGATGTACAAACTCAAAACAGGCCGCCTATAAATACAACGCATTTACTCTCTCACTAATTACCATCCACAAGTTGAGATCAAAAACAATAATAATTTCACCAGGACACTGTTTTCGAAAGCAATTTTCTATCGCAACTCTGGGCAGTTTCCTTCCCCAATGGCAAGACGTTAACAACTACCCTAACTTCATCGTTCTTTCAACCACACTTGCACTAATATCCAAACCGCTGGAATTTCTGAAAGAAATGGTGAATGATGTCGAAAGACAGGGAGAAAGGATCAGAGGTTATTTCGCTAGGCGGGCGAAGGCGGTTTAGTGTCAAGCGGCGTATCTTCTCATGAGCATGGTTCAGAATCAAATCTCGGATCAATTCCGACCCCTCAACTACCCCCTACTAGAACCGTGCAACTGAACAGACTCGAAGGATACAACACTTGCGGTAAAAATGGTTGTACAATCTTTCAGATGCGACGAGTGACGCTCACGACCAGCGCCTCACACGTCGTTTACGGTACTTTCCATACCTATTTGATGTGATTCTTCCGCTTGAAACGAAACGGTGCGATGTAGGGGCCGCCAAGAAGAAGGGAAGGAATTAATAACTGAACTAAGGATCCTCTCTCTTCTTGAGGGGGGGGGAACGTGTGTACGAAGGTACACAGTCGCAGAGGCGAGACCAAGACACGAGAGAGAAGAAAAAAATTAGAGACAAATAAGTCGAGACGCAGCCGGCCCACTTGCATAGAACGTTGCGATAAGAGCAATAGGTCCGGCTTGCATCGGCTCAATGAGCAGCTGTGCCCTTGTGGGGCACTTCCAAATCGCGGAAGTGGCACAATTTCCAACTGTTTCTATAGTTTCAGCTTCTTACCGGGCTTACAATGGTATATGCGTTTAACTATGCTTTGTTTATATTACGACTGCCTCAATACCTGTTCGTCAGCTTCCATGAAAAAGGAGAACACATTGTTCATAATGATAAGATCAGCACGGCTAATCAGATCCGGCTGTGTTCGAACATCTGCACAGATGACATCTATGTTCTGAATTGAATGAATAAGTAACACATCGCACAATACTCCACGAAATAGTAGTTTTTTTGTAATCCATGCGCTCACTAATGCCGGATCACACGTGACTGCTGTGCATTAAGAAACCGTGCGCGCATGTCTCAACTGCACTATTCGTAGAACCCTAGGAGATGCCTTGTCAAGTTTGGTATGGTGGAGCGCATGGATCAGATACAATCAAAACACCTCCGAGACGGAAGAAATGGCGGAAATAAGTAACATCTACGGGATCTGAACACGTTTGTAGAGATTCGGCCACAATAAACAGTTCCGACTCATGAGCGACTGTGTTTAGATTTTGAAATTTCTTAGTTCCGGCTCTAAGATGGTCTGCAGACTTGAGAAAATGAGAAGGGAATGGCTTCGGGGGGAAGGACTCCTCACTACATATCGCGCGAAGAAAAGCCTTAGTCAAATTCGTTACATGTAATATCAGTTTTACCTGCAGGTTGAAATTACTGATCACCTCCTCTTGAAGCTTAACCAGCTCCTCATTAAGCTCCACTCCGGTTACCGATACCTTCCCGCAACTAAATGAGAAGCACGTACTGGATTCATTACATAAACACCAATATGATCGGTAACATATTATGAGAAACTGACCCGTACAAGGAGGCTGCATATATGACTGCTCCTAGACGAGAACCGATATCTAAGACACGAAATCCTTCCGGTTGTGATTTCAGAGGAACAAGCTGGGTGAAGATGAACTCTAGCTGAAAAATCCACGACATTTTCTATACGTTTCTTGGTCTGAAATGCTATCCTAGGCTCACAATTGTTCATCGACAAATTCTTTGAGATGAACATCACGAATTACTGTTACCAAGACTAACACTAAAGCAATGACTGAATCAGCTCTCAAAAATTTGGAGAGATAACTGACACAAGATGCGACAGTTGAATTGAGAAACTACCTGACAGTGCGCTAGGCTGTGACTTATAAAGTTTAAATCCTTGATATTTCTGGAACCACAGTCAACACAGAATCTCCTAAACAATAATCAATAGACATATTCCCGTGTTCTTGACAAACGCAATACTACTGACATCAGCGTTCCACGTACCGTTGCAACTTTCCTGCAGCAATCATTGCCTGCATTGAATGATCATCATACAAAAAGCAGTCAACGTGAACCTGCAAAACGGCGGTTGAGCGAGCTCGCGAAAGTGTCAGTATATAATACTATTAATAGAACTATAATACTTCTCATACTGTGTTTTTCTCTTTGCAATCTGCATCATGCCCACTGCTTGGCCATATCAATTTCTCCGTTTGGACAGATCCGTCGGGAATCTAAAGGTAGACCAAATCACTTGACATGGAATCACTCTTACACATCTATTTCGGTGAAAAAATGGACGCAGTTCAATCGCGATCACAGACAAAGCATATGGGATATGCTACGACTTCATTATTCAGAGGTAACAAGATTTTGACCAAAGAATTACAATGGAAAGGATAAAGGATAAAGCATTTGCCGTTGATCAATCCCTTTTTGGGATGCGGCACGCATTCTACTTCCATTTGTACATTCGTAGTGGCGTTTGAATGCGATGTGGCCTATACAATGACTTGCGGGGGCCAGCCGATGTCAAGTCAGTGTTTTTATCCTCCCAGACAAGTCTGGTACCAATTAACCGACCCCGGAGGGATGGAAGGCTTGGTTGGCCCGGGCGACTCACGACCCAGGATTTGATCCCCGGACCGCTCGCGTGGTAAGCGCGCCACTTGTCACTACACCACTTCCGCCCTTTTGTGGGTAAAGTTGAACGAAAGCATTGAAAGTCATCAGTCTTTCCTCAGTTTTCGTTAGTTTCACTCCAATCTTAGTAGGCCTGGCGTGTCTAGGACCATTGCAGCTGTTTTTCGATAGGCAAGCTAAATGTGAAGAAATAAGACTGCCGAAGTGAAAATAATATTGTTGGTTGTGTACATAATTATTCCATTTACAAGCAAGAGATCTATACAAGTTCTGACATTCTGCTGACACGCCGTTCGACGATGGGATACTACGACAGCGATCATAAATTTCAAGCGATGAGCCATGATAGTTCCCCGGGTATTTCCAATGATATAGCAAAAGCGTCACCTTGAACTGGTCGATACAATGATTCCCAAGATCTAGGTCATTAATTTCCACAACTTGTTAATTTCATTCTTTGATTGAGCTAAGAATATTAAACTTTTATTTATCATTGTTATACACTAGCTAGCTTGTTGTTTCTTTTGATGGTATCAGTGGTTTCTGTCATCTTCTCCATTTGTATGCTATCAAAGCGATAACGGCACATACTACGACGCCACACCAGATGTATTGTGCCTGTAAAAAATCTCTTCTTTCTCAAGAATAGGAAGCGAAGTACGAAGAACTATTTTCAACAATTTCACGAAAATGTTCTCGGTGGTAGCATTGCAGCGCACCATTTCTCTTTTTTCGTCTTCTTCTCCTCTGTCTACCTTTTCTGCCTTAGTTCTGGAAAGAAACTCTTTATTCTCGACAAGTGACACTTCCTCTTCACCAATTTTTAGCGCTTAATTTTGAGAAAACAACTTCGCAAAAATGTGACCGTTTCATTGAAAATATGAATCGGTATATTCACCGTGCTAATGCTGACGTTCCGATGAGATTTTGTCGCGGAACACGATGATCGCCCACAGAAGCATAGGCGCCTGCGAAAGGCCGATGTCAGACTTTGCGAATCGCGCGATTCGCTACTAGCGATTCGCGCGATTCGCTAGCGTCCGCGGTCGCGTTGCGGTACCAGCCAATTGAGTGATTCACTGGCCGCGACGCGACCGCAGACGCTAGCGAATCGCGCGATTCGCAAAGTCTGACATCGGCCTTAACTACTGCCGACATGGCCCCGTCTGACTTATCGGTGATCGTACAGCAACGCACGGGCTGTCGTAACAGCATCATGCCACGACCCGGCTGGTGTTACTTATCGTCTCTACACCGCCCGCGATGAATGTGTTCCCCTTTTCATCGCGGGCAGTGAGCTCTTAGACTCGTTATTCATGTTTATTAAATAAAATAATCTACGCGCTATGTCTACTCTACTTGTGGTCGAGCAGCGGGTGAGAGAAAGCTGCTCGAAAGTTGAGTCAGATCTTTATTGGGTCGACTGATATATTTAATTTTATTAAGAGTTAATTCAAGTAGCGAAATCAGCTTAGCATAAAGTTAGCTTTAGGTTTGTGTATGTGTTTGTAGCAGGTGTGAGGCCTCAAGATGTTGTCATTTTCCCTACTGCAGTCGTGTAATTACTTCATGGATCCTAACATAAGTCGGACCGTTCGGCCTCGGCTTTGTGCTCGCAATTACTTACATATTGCAACCTGGTTTCTTCTTCGGAGTCCGCAAGCCTTCTCCTCATCCTGATCATCCAGGATCCGGAGGCACGTGTCCCATTTCTGAATATAATTCAGACTAATCACGGTCCAAAGTACTAGTAGGCCGAATGCGGTACCTGGTCTCGAAGCGATTGTCCCCAAAAAATACTCCATAGCCGGAAAGTAGTAGTTCATCAGAGTCATAACTGACTGATACGTGACAAGTGGACGTAAAGAAGGTAGAAAGGGAGCTTTTGTGAGAGGTGGAGAGGAGTCGCATCCGCCATTCTCTTAACCCTATTTTCACCATGCTAGCCTATTTGCCCATGTGCGTTTCTCTTTTTCGCCGCGCGACAGGATTACTCACGCCAGTGTTCACTCCTGTGATGGGAAGCTGCGGCTTTAACACATTGACGACATTGAGACGCGGTAACGCGTCTCACTTTGCGCACCTCGTTGGACATTGAGACGCGTTACCGCGTCTCACCCTTATCATCCCTTTTTCTAGGGCATGCGCAGCTTTTTCCCGAATTGTTTGTCTCTCTTCTATGGATTAGAACATAACATTATTGTGAACGACATAGGTCATTGTTTGTTCAAATATGCTCCAGTTTAGAAGAAGTTTTCCAAGCTCACCGAAACCGGCGGCTTGGTTCATTAATAGTTTTCATGCTATTCTCATGAACACGTCAATAAAAAAGGGTAGTGAAAGTAAATGCAAATCTAAAGAGACAGAAAAATACATGTTTCACTTGGTATAACCACATCAAAAGAGCTTTTGGCATCCACTACAGATAAAATGACTAAAATTTCCTTTTTCATTACCATTACATGTTCTTTAATCGGAACTTCGTCACTATATACTCTATTACCTTCTACGCATTGACTGTTACTGAGATGTTTTTGTACCACTGGTGCTTTAAAAAGTTATCAATAAAAATTCACGGATCCGAGGTGCGGCGGTCGCACTCGCAAAATCGGCCCGGTCCCACACGGCCAAAAAAGCCAAAACGCGCGCGGTCGTCAATGTGTTAAGGAGCTTGTCTTCCAAATGTAGGCTAGCTTTCTCATGAAGGCACTAGAGAAAAGGAGTATACGAAATGAGTTGAGCTATGCGTTAGCATCGGCACCTACCATGTTGACGACAGGTAACGCATGTGCGCCAGAGAGGCTCCAAGGACATTTTGGCGAACGTGCACGCCAGCATCTCTGGTGCTTCTACTTAATTTTGCCTGTCGCATGCTATTATATTTGCACCTACACAAAGTGAATTTTATTTTGACTTTACTTTACACATTGGCGTCAGGGAAGCCTTTGGCTTTTTTTTTTTTGCTTGAGCGATTTGGGACGGCATGACAATTTGCCTAACGTGCACGACGTCAACCTTGTCTCACAAGCGGTTTTTCAAACCTCATAATCGAAAGTAGAAAACAAGGGCACAATCTTAGTTAGCTATTTGAGAGTTATAAGCTTCCGGCGAGGAGGCATGTTGCTTCTTGCACCCTTTAGCAAAATAGTGGTGACACACTGCAAGAACAGAGAATCCCTGAGATACAGGGAAGTATAGCATACATTATACGAAGTTATACAAGCGCAGATAAGTTGTGGTCTGCGTCGTCGACTATGGCACTCCCAACGTTCATACTGCCGACCGAAGACAGCGACTTCCCACAATCCAGCCAAGGAAGTCGAATACCCAACAGGAAGCCCGTCGCGCGCCGGAAAACAGGGTAGAGCCAGCGGACGAGTCGCAGCCCATTACTAGTAGCTATTTGAACTTAAGTTAAACCAGTTTAGCTCCGCACGCAACCGCGCGCATCACATGGTAGGCTTTAGTGAAGCTGGACAACTTGCTGAATATTAGGTCACGTGGCTGAGAAACTAACAGTAAGATGTTTGGAAGATGTGTCACATGAATTTCGAAGGCCGTCCAATTTTGCTGAAGATTGTAGCGTAATGCGCGCAGTAGCATGCGGAATGAAAATGGTACTTATCATGACTTCGTAAACATTTAGCATTGATATCGAGCTCGGATGATTTAGCGGTTTATAGAATTTCCACAATTGAAGAATCGGTGTTGTAAGTCGATATCCGAAAGTTGGGGTGGGTGTGTCACCGGAAGTGACGTGCACTTGATAGAAGTGCGTGGATAAGCTGTTGCCAGCATGCTTTGCTGATAGCCAGCGATGTATGTTGGAAGCAGCTTATCCACATAGTTTCTATCAAGTGCACGTCACTTCCGGTGACACGCCACCCCCAACTTACCGATATCGAGTATAAAGGTGAAATCTACCATCAATTTGCACTAACGCATGATGCTAATCTCGCGTATTAGTCAGCCGCCCGACAGTTGACGCAGCTCAACTTCTTTGCTTCTCAGCTGAACAAGATATGCATGGAAGCATCTTCGTGTGCTGTGGGACTGCTTCAGTTCAGGTTATTTTTTTAATCAGTACAGTTGCCGCTCATACCACTTTCTGTCACCTACATTCAACCCTCGCCACCTTGATCGCTTGCCAGTGATAATTGCAACGAAGTTGTAGAGACCTGCATTCAAACGCTCTTATCATTCCTTGTCATTTCTTATCAGTTCATACTGTTCGCAATCGGTGTCCCGGTCCCAACCTCCACGCAACGTGTAGGAGCTAATATTTACTGTCACCACGAAGGCTGCAACGAAATTAGCAGTACTCAAAATCCAAACTTCCTTATCATCCGTTATCGCTTGTTATCACTTCTGATCATCATCGCTATCCGTGTTCCCGTCCCATCCCACCACATGTGAGAGCCAAGGTTCCAATGTAACCGCGAAGGGCCGCAACGAAACTGGTGGTATCCACACTTTGACGCTCCTTATCAGTTCTTATCAGTTGCTACCACATTCGTTCACTCAACTTCTTGGTCCCCGCCTCATCCCACATATCATACATAAGTGCAAACTCTCCACTGTCAACGCGAACGGTGCAACGAAATTGGTGACATCAACATTTCGACGTTTCCGTTATCAGCTTGTATGTACTTATCACTTTCCCGTCATCAGTCTTCACCTCCGGCCCCCTATATATCCTAGAAGTTTGAGCGCTCTTGGTCCAAAGGGGTGAAGTATGAATTTCCGGTCAGTCACACACACACACCGCGCTTAGCCGATTATATATAGTAGGATTCTAGATAAGCTTTTTATTCGTACGTCTAAACCCCACATCCGCGCCTGCAACTTCGCCCGCTGTACTCTGCGTTTGCCGCGCGACGGACCTCCTGCCGCCAAGGAAGTCAATCTATATCGTAGAAGATCTTACGATCTTAGAACGACCAAGGTGGATTTTAGACTAGGAGCAGATGTGATATACACACATTCAATTAAGATGTTATTGTCAAGCGAAAGTGCATATTGTCTTTGTCACGCACACTCGCTTGTATTTCATATCTGGATACAGCATGGCTCCACAGTAGCTTTAGTTACTTACTTCTTATCGTGGTCTTTTCTACCTTCGTTGAACGCGAACGCTTGGTCAAGCCATCTGAAAGAAATTTTTAGGGCAAGCATTTTGCTAACTCACTAATTGTCACAAATACCTGCATTTCTTGTTTTTGCATGGTGGTGATCACCAAAGTTTAGGAGCAGGGTGAAATGTGTGAGGATTCTGGGGAGTCGAGTGTTCGCCCAGGCGTTTCTCCCCTCTACTAGGCTTAGTCCTAGTGTCACCTACCAGCGGTTTTTGAATGCCCTGTTTTGGAAGTCACACCTAAGACCATCAGCGCCTGGCTGTCTTCTGCAGTAGGTTGTTCGTGGAGGATGCCGTCAAAGAGTTACAGGGGCAACGTTTGCCCTTTTCGGGAGAGAGATTGTCGCTAAGTCAGATTTACTGGTTGTAATGGATTTTTCCGACTGAAAATTGGTAAAGGCACTGTTAACCGCTTGACGTGCTTGCCTCTACAGCAACGAAGGCGTTTGAGAGGCAGAAGAGCACGAGTACTGGTAGGCACAAAAGCTTTACTGTCACTTATCTTTCCACTAAATAAATCCTGGGACATCAGAAAGAATCCATTAGTAAACCACTCGACAAATTACATTTCGACTGAATTTCAAGCTAACTCAAGCTCAAATCTATATTAGCGCACAGTTCTTGTGGTTCTTCTTTCGCTTCCGATCCAGCCAGAAAGCTTTCTACACTCAAAGATTCTGCTGGAATGTCGTCGGGACACGGCTTGTGACGTTTCTGAGATAAGACATGATTCTCATATTCTGTGACTTTTGAACGAAACAGCCTTACCTTTCTCCTTATAAGAAACTCCAAGTCGCTCATATTCGAACAGTAGCAGTAAGCAAATGGAACTCACCAGTGAAGTTGTGTGTATTGATAAGCGCCGCTAAATATACTAATGAAGGCTGATAATGAGTTACGGTACACATGATCTTGGTGGTGTTAATGGCAGAATTCCTGCCATAAAAGCGCAAGTCCTGTTTAGCTCCCTGACAAGGCACAGTGTTTCGTCCAGAACTCAGCAATCTCGTAGAACCAGCAGCGGTGATTTTGTAGCATGGACTCGAAGGCCGTTGTAAAGGCAATCTTGAGGAGCACGTTTGAACTGTGGGATCCCGGAAGTCATTTTTGAGGATGTGCCTCCACTCTTTCATCCTCTCTTGAACCGTATTTTCGGTTGAACCAATATCTTCCCTAATGCATAACCTTTGTATCTTGACAGATGTTTCTCTAAATCGGTTTCGCAAATGTTTTGACTTCTGAATCTTTCCGCCTACCGGTTTTAGGTTGGTCGTTGATTGGTTTGCTCCGGGCAGAACAACACATAGGATGCGCCTTTACTCTATGAATCTACGCCTTATAGTTAGGCTGCATCGTTCGGCTATGGATAAGACACTGCAGTTGTGAATGAGTTTCACCGCGGTGGCAGCGACACCGAATGGGCAGAATCGCGCCCGGAATAAGTCTACTAAAAGCAGTTTCGAAGTGACTCCATGTTCAGAGGTGCAGATGCAACCATGGAGCTGTGCGAACTGGAAATGGAGTAGTGACTATGTAAGGAAACTTTCGAGGGATCTATTGAGTGAATTCCATAACTGCAAATTGGTTGTGATCTTGAGATATAGAAGATTTGTATGTAACACATAGGGGTAATTCGATATGCTGATTACGAAAACGACATTCATTTTCAGCGGTGGCGCCAGTTGGCGTCACCTTGTCACGACCCTTGTTTTCACCAAAATCGGTGTAAACTTCTGTATAGGGGTTATTTGGGCCCTGATTACGAATATGACATTCGTTTTTGGCATTAACGTTGTTCTAAC